CCACTGAGCTATACCCTCCCACTCCTTTGCATATAATTTTGGAGGGAAGGAGGAGTGGTGGGTGCCCAGGAGCATCCAGGGAGTGTCTGTGTGCTTTCCAGGGCCTGGGCACTCAATCCTGTCTTAGGTAGGAGCCAGGCCAGCTACTCTGGGCAGCACTTCTGTCGTAGGTTAGTCTTGTAAGGCCAGAGTGCCTTGACTGCAGTCTGGGGGCTGTCACCATGGTGCACACTCCATTCTCTGGCTTGAGTGGAAAATGAGATGTGTTCCTCCTTCCTGAGGCTCTTGTACTTGGACATGGTGATTGATTGGCCTCAGCAGAAAAGAGAGACTTGAGGGGTAAGAGGAAACCCCTTAAATCCACATTTAACAACAGCTAGACTGTGCCCCATGTTGAGCAATGTGCTAGCGATGAAAAGATGAAATGGGGATCTTGTGCTTATGCATGAAGTGGGCAGGAGGGTGTGGAACACTTTGCTGAGAATACAGTCTCAACCATGTGCTTGTACTGGCCAAGTGTGCTTTGCTGGTTTGGTGGAGGGCATAACCACAGGCTTCAGTGGTCTGGGAAGCTTTATAGAGGAGGAAAGACTTGAGCCAGTCCTTGGAGAAGTCAGTTATGGGCCCGAGCACGCCTTACCAACACGGTAAGCATGTAATTGCATCGTGCGTGGAGAACCTGCCGTGGTTACTGGCTAGTGGCAGCTGCTCATCAAGATCCCTTCTCCCTTCCCTTTATCCTAAGCAGTGGAGACCCTATGAAGGCTTTAGACACAGAAATGGTAGTGTTGAGTGAACAAAGCCATTTTGAGGGAGAGAAAATGGAGGTGGGTGGGATGAATTGGAAAGAAGGCGATGGAGACCAGAGTGGGAGGCTGTCAGAGCAGCCTGGGAATGAAGTGCTGGGTGTCTGAGCTAGAGGGGGCCGCTGGGCTCTGCAGACACCACACTGAGGCACTGGGAAACTTACCGCTGACCGTGGACGACGGCAGGAGAAACCAACCACTCCACTGCCGAGTGGGACATGGTGGTGCTGGTCGTAAGCTACTGCTGGTGGAGCAGTACTTTCAGGCACTGCTGTGTTGTCTCCTCAGCTCCAGCCCTGCGAGGTAGGTTCTGTTACTGTCTGCACAGTACAGAGAAGCAAGCAGGTTTAGGAAGGTAAAGGAACTTGCCCAAGGTCCAAAGCTGGTAAGGGTCTAACTCTGGCAGTCCTGACTCAAGGCGCTGTGTGGGGAGCTGTCTGCTCTGGCAACTCGGTGTCCCCTCTGTTGTCCTGAACAATTCTCTGCCCCAGATTCAGCCAACGCCGCCACCCTCTAAAAGGCAATTAGTGACCATCTCCTGTTATTCTGGGGAAGAGAGGTTTCATTCTTCACCCACCAGCCCTTTGTAAAGATCTTGCATTTTACTGTGTGTGTTTTTCTCCCAGTGGAGACCTCGGAATCCCAGTGAGGTTTTAGGACCTCATGTAACTCAGTCCTGTCAGAGAATGGTTTGGCCACCTTACTGTTAGTTTGGTGGTCTGAATCACTGTTAAAAGTGATTTGTGGGGAACAATAAGAAGGTAAGGCCAGGCTCCTTATACAGGAGCTTACCCCTGTGAATGGGAGGATGGATTAGGTGTCCTGGAAATTTCCTTCCAAATTCAAGACTGTAGTTTTGGGTCTTCTTTATCTGGTTAGACTGCAGACCCCTGAAATCAGGGACCATGTCTTGGGTACTGAGGATTTCTCCACTGAGCTGAACTTCATGGCCCTGGAAACATTGCTGGCACTTAAGTATCTTGCCATCTGCCTCCCTCTTTGCGCAGGTCAAATAGCAGGTACACAGCATCCCTATGACTGAGGCCTCTGCCAGTGGAAGCTGGTATTCCACACTTAAGCAGCACAAGGAAAGTTTTCTGACTTGTTTTATACAGGCACCCAGATTCGTAAAACTTGGAGAGTTTGATGAGCTTTGAAATGCAGCAGCCTCAGTAGAGGGGCTCTGGCCCTTAGTGAGAAAGGCCTAGCCTTCTTCCAGTGTGGTCCAGAGCAGTACCTTCTCAGTCCTTGGGCACCAAATCCTACTAGAGACAAGTGGGCTGTGGAATGGATCTAAGGGAAGAAGAAACAGAAGCAGGAGATTAGCCAGATGCCTGTGGCTGCCACAGCAGAATAATGGATGCAAAGGGGGACTGAGCCTCTGTGAGAGCTGTGGCCCTTGGGCCCAGGCATCCAACCTGTGGCCTCCCACTCCCCTCTCTGGCAAGAAGCTCCAGTATCCCTGGGATGGGGGGGTCCTTGGTAGGGTTCTCTGCTAAGCCTCTTACATGACCTCTCAGCATCCTGTACATCATGCCAGCAGCTAATGATTACTTGAGTGATCTCAATGGATCCCCAGAACAATCCTATGACATCATGATGCCCATTTCACAAGCAAGAAATGAGGTAGCTGAGACAGATTAGGGTATTTGCCCAAAGTGATAAAACTGGGCAGGGGCGGAGTCTGGAATGAAACCCTCACACTATACTGCAGCTCCTCATGTTTCACAAATGAATTCATTACTATGCAATCATTTGTTTCAAGTGTGTCTCCCTAGTTAGAAGGAAGGGTCCTCCAGAGCAGGGACAGTGCTTGTCACATTCACCACTGGATCTCCAGCACTGAGCCTGGTATATGGTGAGGGGTTAATATGTGCTGAATTAAATTATTATGAGTAGGTGGTAACTCCTCTGGGCACCTGCTTTGTTCTTGTCCTGTGTGGACTCCATGGGGAGTCAACCTGATTTTCTAGAAGCAAAGGCTGGCTCTGCTCTGGCTTTGCAGACTGGCTTTGGAAGTGCCCAGTCCTTCACGGTATCCTCCTAGATCCGAAGGCACCAACTGGTGGCCTACAGCCAGGGTCGGTCCTCAGGCATGTTGTCATCACTCCATGCGGTGCTTTAAATTTTTGAATCAGTTGACAATTCTACTTGAAAATATGATTTCAGGCTTATCTTGAAAAACCAAAGCTCTGGCAAACCCTGGGCTCACAGCCCCACCCAGAAGTAATCAGCAGGCTCTGGGCAGCTGCTGCCCCCTTGAGGTGGGTCATGCGCTCTACAGCTCTTCTTTCCTCTGTCCTTAAGGAACACAGGCCTCAGGTATAAATACAGGCCTGGAGTTTGCAGTCCCTGACATAGATGACAGCCACATCAACAGTCAGTCAAACACTTTTTCTTAGATCAAAAGTCCAATCAGTACAAAAGGATATATGAAAGTGACTCTCTCCTTCTGACATCCCTCAGCTCCCCTCCCTGGAGGCCACAGTGTCTCCTTCCACAGACATGCTGTACCTCTATGATCACAGTCACCAAACACTCACAGGCACCTCTTATGGGCCAGATATCAGCTGGGCATCAGAGTCACATGGCACTTTTTCAAAATAGAGACTCAGGACCCTCAACAGACCTTTAGAGATAGAATTTCTAAAATTGGAGCCCAGGTGTCCAGATTTTTCAAAACCCACAGTGTTTTCTGTTGGTCAGCCAAGCAGAGATGACTATACTCAGATGCAACATCCCAACCACAGGCCCCGCTCTCCAGTCCCCCACGGTGTAGGGGAGAGGGACCCGGAGCTCCCACCATCGAGGCTGCTGCTCAGAGTTGTGCAGACTATACCCTCCACAGGAGCATCCAGCCAAGGCCTGAAATCCAGCCATACCCTCAAATCAAGGCCCCTCCACCCCAGAGGAATAGGCACCACTTTGGAATTTTCCATGTCAACCATTCAATGAGAATACAGGAGGACCTGTGCTATGATGTGGGGGCACAGATAGGGGCCCCTCAGTTCTGTTGCAGACCCAGGATGGCTTCCTGTAGGAGGTGATGTGTGGACCAAGTTTGGTACCGGAGTTAAAAACACAGAAGGCACAACTCTACCCTGTACTTCTCAGTTCACCCCACTCTGTCCCTTACCTCACAACTTTCTCTGCTTATCAGGGGCCAAAAACAGGGACACTTTATTAGTAATGCACATCAAGAAAGCACTGGGAGACAGATTAGGGTGGAAGGAGGGGTCCAGGCATAAATCAGATCAATGTGCCTGACAGGGAGCAGCTTGAGGTCAACTGACTTGGTATCCAGAAGTGTCTGCTTGGGGAGCAGGGGTGCAGAAACCTTATTCCTTATGGAAGGTCTCTTGAGGGGCTCTGCAAAGCCAGAGTCCACTACTCAGCAGCCTGAATCAGTACTGTCAAAGAGCGGTCCTCGGACAGCTGCCAGTCCACAAAATGTTACCGCTCTGCAATGAAATCAGGGCAGAAATTGAAACTAAGCATTTAGGAAACTTTCATAACAATCTTACAAGGTCTGTTGAATACCATTAAGACTGAGGCTAGTATTTTGCATCTTTTTTTCCATCTCATTTTATCAAAAAAAATTTATTGTAAAATATACATAACATAAAGTGTACCATATTAACCACTTTTAAGTGCACAATTCAGTGGCATTAAGTACAGTCACAATATTGTGTAACCATTACCACTATCTAGTATATTTATTTAATTTTACAAAAGTCTAAGTTCTTAGCAGATTAAGAAACAATTTTTTCAGTTTGAGAAGCACTGGCCTAAACCTTGACCTGGAAGGTCCCCAAGGTCTGCGGGCAAATAGGCACCTGACTGAAGAGCTTGATTCATTGTTTAGTTTCATTTCCCCAAACTGTTGAGATTTGCCCCAGAGAATGGTGTGGGCTGAGACCCAGGCTCCCTGGGCTAGAGGCTGGAGAGATGGGCACCATCCTTGAAGGGAGGGGAGGAGGCCTTGTGCTGCCTGGGGCTGGGCAGGACAAAGGGCCCTTCCTGGGCAGAGCTGCCCTGAGCAAGAAGGCCTGTTGAAAGATTGTGGGATTTCTGGCAGGTTTTCCTCCTGACTCAGCTGTAGGGGGGTGTTTGTTTAGAATTCCAAGAACATCAGCTCCAGCTGGAAGGGCCCTTAGTTATCAGTGTCTACCCTCCTTGTTTACACGAAAAGCTTGAGGCCACAGAAAAAGAATTGCCCAGAGTTACAGCCAGTTAGAATTGGTCCCAAATCCAGTTCTGTTTCAATTCCCAGGCAGAAGCAGGGCAGAGCTTTTTGGAATCACACAGAATGCAGTTTAAGTTCTAGCTCTGTTAGCTCTTCAAGGGCCTCAGGCATTTGTATCTTCACCTGCGAAATGGGACAATCCCTCACAGGCTGGGTTTAATGGAGTGCCTAGCACAGGGCCTGGCATTAGGGGAATGGCAGGACAAGTCAGTCCCCTGCCCCTCCTTGCCCAGTGTTCTTCTTCTCAGTCCGCCATTTTCCCTCTCTGTGGTTGAGGGGACAGAGGAAGGCCGACCCTCTCCCTCTGGACTAAGGCGAGCAGGAAACTCATAGTCTCCCGCACTGGCCATCTGCGAGGCTTCCTTCCCTGTGGGCCATTGCTCTGTGCTTGGCTCTTCTGCCAACAATCTGGGCATCTTAGAGAAATTTATGTCTTTTCTGGGACTCAGAGCATTTGAGAAATGAGGGAGTAGAACCAGAAGAACTCAAGTCCACTTGGGGGAGTGGGTGCTGAAGTTTGGATGCTTTAAATTTCTGCATCTTTTCTTGGAGAGTCGAACTCCTAACAGGTTAGACTGGGTTGCCCCTGGGCTACCAGCCACCTGCCTCTCTGTTGTTGCCTCTGTTCTCACTTTCTCTTTCCTGTTTCTCTTTTCTTTCTTTTATGCCTAAGGTGTTTCGAGTACTTACTATTTGCCATGCATCATATAAGCATTCTACATATTCCATCTTATTGAACATTCTTGTGACTTAATATTATTCTTATTCCATTTCCAGGTGAGAACACTGAGGTTCAGAGAGGTTGCAATTACTGACCCATAGCTAGTCAGCAGTGGAGTCAGCAGGGGGCGCTCTCAACATCATTCCCCAGTTGGCCAGGTCATGCTCTGGCCTGAATAGAGCAGGTTTAATATGGTGCAGGCCTGAGCTCACCTTCTCCCTCCTGTTTTCCCCAAATGGGCTCTCACTCCCACCCTGGAGACACTGTGCCTGGCAGGATTGCTTGGACAGTCAGGGAGGAGTGTTTGGATGCTGGTGGAAAAATGATCATTTACTGGCTCCAGTTTCTGACTTGTATCTGAGGCATTATGTCCCCTATCCCTAATCTCCTTCCTCCCTTTTCTCTTTAGATGTCCAAGAGCTGGAAGGTCCCCTAAGGGAACACCCAAAACAAGCCTCCCTATTCATTCATTTACTACTGAACAAATACTGAATCCTCCTACATGCCGGGCAGAGTTTTAAGCTCTGCGGATATGACTATGCACAAGGCATTCAAGGTCCCTGCCCTCATGAGCTTACATTCTGGTGGAGGAGAAAGACAACAGAAAGATTATGGGGTGAGGGGGAAGGGATAAACTGGGAGTTCGAGATTTGCAGATACACACTACTGTATATGAATATATAAACAACAAGTTTCTTCTATATAGCACAGGGAACTATATTCAATATCTTGTAGTAATCTATAATGAAAAAAAACATGAAAAGGAATATTTGCATGTATATGTATGACTGAAACATTATGCTATATGCCAGAAACTAACACAACATTGTAAACTGATTATACTTCAATTTAAAAAAAGATTATGAGGAGTGCATGGAGAAAATGAAAGGGGTGATGTAACAGACAGTGTCCATGGCAGGGAATGAGGGGTCTCCACAGATAGACAGGCAGGAGGTAATGTGTTCCTGGCAGAGGAAACAGCTAGTGCAAAGGCCCAAAGGCAGGAGCCAGCAGGTGTGAGGAAGGGGCACATACAAGGCCCACATGGCTGGATAAGCTGAGCAAGGGGGTCTGGAGGGAGGAAGGTGGTCAGGGCCGGGACATGCAGGCTGGCAGGGCCTGAACAAGGGGTTGCATTATATTCTGTGTGTGATGTGAAGGCTCTAGGAGTGATGTGATGTAATTAAGTTTGTAAACGATCTGTCAGCCACTGTGACAGCCACTGTGAGGAGAATGGATATAAAGGGAGCAGGAAGAAGAGATGAGGGTGGTTTGGACTAAGGTGGGGTCAATGGGGTGGAGAGACAAGGATTCAGGATCTCTGTCACAGTGGAGCCAACAGGGCTGGATGTGGGCCATGGGGTGAGGATGTGGGCCCCTGGGTTTTTCACTTGGGCAGCTAAGTGGAGATGTCATTTGCTGGAGAAGCCTGGAGAAGGGAACAGATGTAGGAGTTGGTGAGGTGAGAGAAGCAATGGTTCCATTTGGCCATCATGGCAGACTTTGCTGGCTCCCCTCCCAGTCGGTACCCATTCTCCCCTTCCTTGTAACAGAAGCCTGACAGGTTTTTCTTCAAGTATCAACTTCTCTGGTCCCTCCTCTTCCTTTTGCCCTTTTCTCATCCTCTTTCCTGCCTGGAATGGAGACACGATACTATGGGTACAGCCCCTACCTTGTGACCATGAGGCTAAAAGCCACATGATAAGATGACTGGTCAGGGAGACAGATGGAACCCGGGTCCTGGGTAATACCAATGAGCTGATGTCCCAGTCTTGGACTGCCTACCCCCAGGTTCTAGTTATGGGAGGCAAATTAATCCTTTTACTTGTTTAAGCCAGTATTTTGTGTTTTTTCATTGTGTGCTGCTGAATGCTGTTATAGCTAATGGAGCCCTGTTGAGTTTGAGATTTGAGGGGAGACACTGGAATTCAGTCATTCATTCAAGAAATGTTTATTGAGGACCTATTACATACCAGGCACTATTCTAGGTGCTGAGAATTCAGCAGTGAATAAAACAGGCAAAAATGCCTGCCCTTGAAGAGTTTACTCTCTGGTATAATCTGGAAGCCAGACCTGTGTTCTGGGCTAGGCGTTCTCATTTGATCCAAAGGTTTGGTCAGATTTGAAGTACAGACAGGTGACGGGGGTGGAGTGTGGCATGTCTGCTCTCACCACCTTCCTCACCCACCCATTATGTTCACAAATCAAAATGATTAACATGTTTCTCTATAAGCCAAACACTGAGCTGCATTCTCTATGAGGGAGGTGTTTTGTTATCATCCCCATTTTGCAGGAAGGTTGAGAAATCACCCCCAGTCACACAGCTAATAGGTGGCTGTGCTAGGATTTGAACCCAGGGCTTTCTGACTCCAGAAACTCCACTGCACTCACTGTCCCCCTGGGCAACCTCCTGGCCCCCTTTTCCCACACCCCTTTTAGTCGTTGTTTGACAAACCATTTCCTGATTTCCCCTTTCTCCTTGCTTTGGACAGGGACTGTGTCTCTTGCTCATCTGTCTACCCCAGGCACCTTACAAAGACTTGGCACCCTTCACTCATTTTTCAAGAAGGTTTCTTTGCACTGAGTGCTAGGAATGCAGGCTGAGCCACAGGTTAACACATTCAGTCCAGGGGAGGGACAGGCAACTAACAGGGGTCACAGTGTGATGAGTGTTGGTATCAGAGAAATCAATAGAAGCACAGGAAAGGGCCAACAAGTCAGACTTGGGTAGTGGGGACCAGTCAAGGAGGGCTTCCTGGAGGAGTTCACATCTGAGCTGAGTCCCAAAGGAGAAGCAGGAGTTGAGCAGGTGAAAAAAGCGGTGGTGGGTGTCAGACAAAGGAGCAGCACGTAGACGGCTGAGAGGAAAGGTGGCAACACGTGGGGGTGACTGGACTACGGATGGAGGGGGAGTAGGGGGACATGAGGCTGCGAGACGATGCAAGGTCTTGCCAGCCAGGACAAGGAGTTTGGGCTTGACTTGGTAGGCACTGGGGAGCCACTGATTGGTGGTGAGTAGCGTGGGTCCAGGTCAGATTTGTCTGAGCACCCCGTAACTACCTGTTGATGGAATGAATGCAGGGAAGAAGGAATGGTAACTGGGGTTCCATGTGGGGAAGGAGGTGGGTGGTTAAATGGTCTGACAGTGGAAGGACAAGCCAGGCAGACACTGGATGCAAGACAACCATTTCTCTCACCTCCTCCTCCACGACTCTCCTGCCTGGGCCAGCTCCGTCACTCGCTGAGATACTTAGGGGGCCTCTAAACTAGTCCTCCACTGCCACCCTGGCCCCTCTACAGTGCATCCTCTAAGGTAGCTCTGTGTTCTCCACCCCAGTGCTTCTGCCTGATGCCTTTGCCACCTCAGCTGCATCAGCCTGGACCAAGTAACTGCCATGCTCATCTGCACTCCTCATCCCTGACGGCTCTGCACATACAAAGTTGGTTTTAGTGGGAACGATGCCCCCAGAGTGTCATGGTGAACATGGGACAGGACAGACAGGCGAGCGGTGAACTCAGAGCAAGAGCAGCATCCTGACCCTGAAGGGCCCCCTGACCTGAGCCAACGTGGAGGAAGATCCAGCATCACAGCCCCTCCCACGGCTTCATGTTGGCCCGAGGCTGAGGAATACCCCGTTCTCTTCACCAAACCTCCCCCAAAATCCAAAACCAAGAGAGAGGATGTGCCAGGTCAGGTGTGAGACCTCCGACATCTGCCACGTGTGCTGCTGCCCAGGCGGCGCCCTCTCTATGAGCCTCTGTTCACACCTCCGGGATGGTTGTGGACTCCAGAGTGCTGCCCCCTCACAGTGCCTGTTAGTGAGGGCTAGCCCTGCCCCGCACCAGCATCTGGGCTTGAGAGAAGACTATCTACCTCATGGAGATTCTGGCAAAAAGAGGTTCCGGCTTCACTCCCACATCTGGAAGGGAACTGGTGCTTGACCTGGGGGGATGCTGTGCTACGTCACCCTGGACCTGGAGCAGGAGACGGCCCTGCTGTGTCCCTCTCCTTCCCTGAGAAGAGCTGTGAGCTTCTGAAGGCCAGGCGGTTGCCCATGGCAATGAGAGATCCAGATGCCCAAGAAACTATCTGATCTCATTCACCTTCTACTCTTCCCCTGCCACCCTCACCAAGCCAACCAAGGCCCTGCTTCAGGGCTTTTGTATGGCAGTGCCCCCTTACCTGTAGGGGGTGTGTTCCAAGATCTCCAGTGGATGCCTGAAACTGTGGCTACTACCAAACCCTGTCTATATATATGATGTTTTTTCCTCTACAAGCATACCTATCATAAAGTTTAATTTATAAATTAGGCACAGTAAGAGATTAACAACAAGAACTAAATAAAATAAAATAAAATAAAATAAAATAAAACAATTATAAAATATACTGTAATAAAAGTTTTGTGAACGTGGTCTCTCTGTCTCTGTCTGTC